GGGGGGGGGGGAGAATCACCACCACCACCAAAAAAAAAAAAAGAAAGAAAGAAAACCATTTCCAACAGGTGTGGGCCTTCCCTCAAAATATACTGAAACCCTCCATAGCACCACTTTTACAACTCCAGAAGCAGCCTCCTTCCCAAGAAACAAAAATGATACTCTAGTAAAATATTCTTATCAAGAATGCTCCAGCATCAAAAAATATGAATCCAAGTGGTTATCAGACTTCAAGGGAGAGTTTAGGTCAGTACGGTAAAGAAAGAACAATAAAGTTAGCACTAAATTCCCACACAGGCTAATTTCCAACATACAGATACCATAGTGTTGCTAGAAAATACAGAAATCCTGCGCACTAGGAGAGGACTGGCGTGGTGCAAGACAGGAGGAAAGGTTTGATTTTGTACCACATGCATGCACTATCTATTCAAAATATAATTTAGAAAAGTTCTTAACCTACAAATGCATCAGTTCTTCTCCAACTAGGATCTGTAAAGCCTGCTTTACTCCATCAGTTACCAGTCCAAATCTCTCTTTTGCAGTCTGGACTGAAAACACTGCTTTCTCTTTGCTAAAATACAGTAAGCATCCCCACTTATCTCACACACACAAAAGCCCTCCAAATAATCATTTATCAGATGAGAAAACGTTCTCAAGAGGCTACCTGATTCGCCAGAGGACAGCAAAAGAAGACTGATCTCTAACTCAGCATCCACAGGCCACCCACCATCAATGCCCCCATCTCCACCTTAGCGCCATCCCTATGAGCTAACACCTTGTGTTTTGAGGAAAGTTGATGCTGGGGAAGAACCCAAAGAAGCCACAACACCTTTATGAGGGAAGAAGGTTGCCCTGGGTCGCAAGTGGCATCTAAACCTCCGCATAAGCAAAAGTAGCTAGCACCTTAGCGCAATTAGGAGCAGGACGGCAAAAAGTACTCCAAGTCCCGGTCGGGCTGGGGAAGGATAAGTTCTAGCTTCCTCGACCCTCGGGCACTGCACTGGGAAAGAGGTCCGGCGTGTCCCAGCAGCCAAGCCGAGAAAACGGGTGGCTTAGTCGCTCTAGAAGATAAGTATCCACACAGGCTGAGACAATTCCCTCCTACGGGACGGCGAGGAAACGGTGGACGACGAAATAAAGGGTCAGGCTCTGCGCTCGCAATCCCTTTCCCTAAATAATGAGGATCACCCTTTGCTTCCTTCACCCTTAAGGATCCCCCATTTGTCCCATTCGCCGTCACACACAAGACCGAGAGCAGGGAGCGGCCCCCGCACCCTGAGGGCACCACTGGGGGTGGAGAGAGTTAAAAGGGGGGGCGCGCTAGGGAGGAAAGGAGGGGAGCATGGCGGGCATGAGGTAGTGAGTGAAAGCGGGGATGGCGGGGGAAACGGGGCGCGAGGGAGGGGAGAAAGAGTAAAAGGAGATGAAATGAAGGGACACGAGCTGGGGGCGCGCGAGGGCGAAGCGAAAGACCGGGGAGCGCGCGCGGAGAGGGGGAGGGGATGAGGTGAAGGGGGAGCGCGAGGCGGGGGCGCGCGGTGCCGGGGTGGGGGGAGGGGGACGCAAGGCGGGGGCGCGCGGGCGGGCGTCGGCTCGCGGGCGCTTCCCCTCCCCCCGCCCCTCCACCTTTCCCTTCCCCCACCTCCGCCACCACCGCCTCCTCCCAGCCTCCCTCCCTTCCTCGCTCCTCACCGCCCCCGGGCGGGCGGACGGCCAGGCTGGCCTAGGCCAAGGCTCCTCACCTGGCGGTGGCGGTGTAACTCCCGGCTAGCTCGCCTCCTCAGGCGGCGGCGGAGGCGTCGAAAAAGGAAAAGGCGACCGCACAGTGGGCTCCGGATCCCGCTGACGGGAGGAGGGACGGGGGTGGGGGAGGGGGGCGGGCCGGACCGGGGCAGGCGGGCGGAGCAGACACTGCGGTACAGACGGGGGCAGCGGCGGCGGCGGCGGCTGCACCGGCGGCGGCGGCACCACACAAACAAGGACGCTGATTGGGCAGCTGCCAAGCGCCTCGGCTCCGCCTTACCCACACGCCACGACGCCCATTGGACGACCCAAGCCGGCCACTCCGCCCCTTTCTTCTTCGCCGTACCAATAAAAAATGGGATGCCTAGGCTTTACCCCACCCTTGAAGAACGAGTGGCTGGAGAAGTGATGACTGGCGTACATAAGGCCCAATCTTAGACGAAGGAGGGGGATGGTCCAGCGGGGGCGCGTTAATGGGTACCTCGGCCAGTCCCAGACACATCCGGGTCTTCGACAGCCCATTAAGTGTCGGGGGTCAAAAAATCGCTTCAGGCTGCAACTTTACCTTAGAGACGTTTTGGTCCCCAGGCAGCCGCCGTACCCTAATCTCCCAAAACCGGGATTCCCCTTTGGCCAGCTCTCATTCTTTCATTTCTAAAGATGGAGACCGGCGATCGGTGCTAGGCTGTACGTTGAGCAGTGTTTCATCGCGACAGAATTCAGGAATTTCACGATAGAAGTAGCTTTAGGCGCTTGGGCCTTGCTGTCTTTTTGGGGCGTGGCCTGTCTCCGTCTGCCAAAGGCCTTGGGCTTGCTGGGGTTGGTCGGCCTCTGCTCGGTCCTGTCGTGACAGCCACGACAGCAGGGGGAAAAAAGGCAGGTGGCCAAGTTCATGGAGGACCTACGGTGTGCAGAGCCAGCGAAGCACCCTTTCTCGGGATCTCCTGGTTTCGTGAGGTTCTCAGTGAAGAAACAGCCTCCCACCCCACCTGAGTCCAGCCCATCACCTCGAGGCCCACTCCTCCGCCAGCCCGGCCACTTCCCCGGCGCAGTTAGGCCCACACTCTTAGCGTGCTGGGGCACCTTAAGGATAGGGACCGAGTGTCACAGGACGGTATGTTGAGGGAACGATCCCACCCGACGTTCCCGGGAAGGCTCTGTGGGCCGGGCACCGTGCTCAGAGCTTTGCGTGCATTATCGGGCCCGTTTCTCGTTTCTCGTGACGGTCGCTCCTGTTTTGTGAGTGAGGCAAACGAGATACAGATCCATTGGGTTTTCCCGCAAAGTTACATGTTAAGTGGCAGAGCCGAAATTTGAACCCAGGTATCGCAGGAAACCAGGTCAGAGAGTTTAAACAATGTGCCAGAGTCAGCGAGCTAGTGACCAAGCAGCGGTTTGAACTGGTGCCAGAGGCAGAACATATTTTTCAAATCATGCAGAAGTCATGCTGGGCAATAGAAATGAAATTGTAATGGAGGGCACAGTCATGTAAGGACAGATGGAAAAAGCGAACAAAAAGACAGGTAGACCTGAACACACCCACAGGCATGCCTCCGTTTTTATTTTAAGTGAATAAGAGACCTGTTAGCATGCTAGTATAGTGTCCAGGTAAAGAAAGAACATGGTCAAGCACAAGCACTCAGTTGAGTGCTTGAGTTTGGATCTTGGCCCTTTTATCACTTTGTGCTTTGGATGCAAATTAATTAACTTCTGGTGGTTGTTTTGTTGTTTGTTTGGGAGGCAGGGTTTTTTTGTTTGTTTTGTTTTCGTTTTGTGGTACTGGGGCTCAAACCCAGTGGCACTGTATGTACTACTTACTGAGCTACATCCCCAGTCCCTTTTATGTTTTATTTTTAAACAGGGCCTCTTTAAGTTGTCCAAGCTGGCCTCAAACTTGTGATCCTCCTGCCTAAGCCTCCCAAGCCAATGGTATTACAGTCATGCACCACAATGCCAAGCTTAACTTCTATTTTCTTTTTTTTAATATATTTTTGAATTGTAGATGGACACAGTATCTTTATTTTTTTTTTTTAATGTGGTGCTGAGGATCGAACCCAGTGCCTCATGCATGCCAGGCAAGCAAGCACTCAACCACTGAGCTACAACCCCAGCCCTTAACTTCTATTTTCAATGCCTTAGTTTCCCCATCTGTAAAATGGGAATAAGAGTGCCTAACTCATAAGGGAATTGTAAGGATTACAAAATAGTACATTTAACTGATTGAGGCAATAAGCACTCAATAAACGATATAAAACAGTAATAATGGTAACTACTATGAGAATTTTCCTTGCTTTTCCAACAATTTCACCCTCTTTGTTCTAAATTCAACTTTTCTCCCCACAGTACCTACCTTGTACTGCACTGAAAATTTCCCCAGTCCCATCATCATAATGCTTTCACTGATTCTTCTCAGTCATTGATAAAGCACCCATGATATTACCAGTCACTCCCATTCGCTGGGGATACAGAAGTGAACAAGATAAAGCCACTACCCTCATGGAGTGTACATTCCTCTTTTCCTAAACTACCATCCATCATAAAACCAGTGCATTCTCTGCTATCTAAAAAGCTGTCCTCAAAACTTTGAGAAAACATGAGAAACACAGTAGTGGAAGAGACCCACCTGAAGGAGACTCTGCAAGGCCTGAGAAACTGCCTCCCAACAAAATAAAAATCAGGCTTTGGAAAGAGACTTTCAAACAGGAGCGATCAAGCTCTAAAGAAGTGAGGCCAGTATTGTAGTGGACATGACTTTTGCCCTACACAGGCTCTACCACTGTTTCCTCTTTTTTTTTTTTTTTTTAATTGGTACTGGAGATTGAATCCAGGAGTGTTTTACCACTGAACTACATCCCAGTCCTTTTTATTTTTTATTTTGAGAAAGGGTCTCACTAAGTTGAAGTTCTCACTGAATTGTTGAGGCTAGCCTCAAACTTGCAATCCTCCTGCCTCAGCCTCCCAAGTTGGAGGAATTACAGACATGCACTACTTGCCTTTTTGAAGCTAACATTTATTGAATGTGCTTAACATTTCATATGGATAATATAATTAGTCTTTAAATGACCCCCTCCCCACTTTCAGATGAGAAAAAAATAAGGCATAGCAGTTAAGTTACTTGTCTGACATCATAAGATTAGTAAGTGACAGAGACAAGATTTATACTCTGAAGTCTGGAAAAAGAAACTGACCCAGGCAATTTAGACATATCCTTTCCCTCAGAAAGCTCCCTAGGCCACAGGACAGATATCAGATATTATGGTATCATAAGTTGCTATTGGAATTCCCAGATAATCTGTAGTTATGAAATTCTGTAGTTCTCTTATCTAACTTCTCAAAAATGAGAGGCATAAGCTGGAAGGCAGAGTTCTTACTGTGGAACCAAAGGGCATGCTAGACTAGTAAGATAGTATGCTCTACTTGGGCAGGGACTGGGCCCTAAAATCTTCTCACTATAGTTAAGTGCAGTACTGAGTATACTATACCCAAATTAATTGTAAGAGGGCAGGTCTATAAGCTAGGGGCATAGCTCACTGGTAGGGCATTTGCCTAGCATGAATGAGGCCTGAATTTGATCCCCGGCATCACCACCACTACACACACACACACACACACACACACACACACAGGCAAGTCCACCCTTACTAAAGGTCCTTAGGCCTTAGGGACAAAATAGGGAGTCGATTCTGATGAGTGGGGTCTAATCAGAAACTAGGGTGACCTCTGAAGAGATCATCATCTAGCAAGACAGATGGTGGCATTTCCTAAGCCCTTTGGTTTCCTCCTTTGCAGCTCTTTTAAGGACTGGGAAAGCATCAAGGCAGGATGGGGAAGGGTCCTCTGCATGAAGGTCCCGGCTTTCAGAAGTAGTACTTCTCTTTTCACCCACTGATCTCCATCGCCCAGGGATTTACACTAAACATTAATGTAAGTCACTTCCCCCATTGATACTGCAGCCCTCCTTCCCAAGGCATTTGTTTTGTTAGCTGACTCCCTTTGGTAAATGGTTTTGCAGCTCTGTTAGGAATTGTTTCCTGTTTATTTCTTATGTAGGGAAAAGAAGGAGAGCGTTGAATGGGCCAAGGGATTAGAAAATGATGCCCATCTCCCTGATGTTCACAGCACAAGAAGCCCCTTTCTTTCCAGTGCTGTCCCCAGGCTGAGACCCTGAGCAGAAGAATACTGCCTGCAAATAGAGCAACTAGGGAGGACGAGAATGACTGAATGCCAAGTCCCCCAGGACACGTGAGGGCCGCCAACACCAACTACTGGGGAAAGGGTTGTCATCTCTGTGGAGGTACTGGAGAAGTCGGGGGGCAAGTTAGGGGAGAGGAAATAAGGCAAAGATGAGCTCAAGGCCCCCAGAGAATGGAGCCTTTGTGTGGGGTACAGATGAGGGACAAGGGGGTGATTGTGTGGGAGGGCTGGAAGTGCCACACAGACTGGCACTGCCATAGCAGCACCAGATTCCCCCCCATCCTGCTCTAAGAACTCCCTGTGCCCCAAGGGGCCAGTACCAGACATGGCCAGGAGAAGCAGGGTATACCTGACGGTTGCAAAGGACAGAGGTGGAAAAGAGGACGGGTGGCCAGGAGAAAGGCGCAGCATAAGCATCCCCCACTATCATCCAGACCCAGGAAAAGGGAGGCAGAAGGAAAAAGACAGAAGCAGCTTTTACTATATTTACATACAACAAAACTTTGCAGGGGACAATTCTTATTGCACAGGTCAGGGCCCTGGGTGGGTGGGGCGCTTCCCAAGATGGAGTGGACAGGAAAGATCAGGACTGCAGGAGGCACCAGTTCTTCCTCAGGGGGTCCTGGGGCTCCCCTGGCTCCCACTGCCTGGCTTTCAGGGAGCTACAGACCTCGGTGCCCCATTTCCCTTCTCTTTCTCACTCTCCATTAGAGCCTCATTAGCAAGGGGGCTGTGGCTCCAGAATAAATAACTTAAAATAAAATATAAACACTAAGGTAGAAAGGCATGGAGAGCCTTGGGCTCCTTCAGCAACGCCAGGGAAGGGGGACCACCACTGGTGGGATGAGATCCCCCCTCTCATCTGGGCAAAGGCTCAGTAGCTCTGTATCTTTCTAGTTGTTTTTTAAAACAAAAACTTCTAAAGTAACCAGGGCAGTGCAGATCTGTGGGTGCCCTGGGTGAGAGTTCCTGGAATAGGCTCGGGGAGGGACAGAGCTGCACCGGCTCCCCAGCTCTCCCAACACTGACATGAAAGGGTTAGCAGGATGGAGACGGGGGAATTGTGACTTTTGGTAACAGTGGGTCCCCCTTTCTGCTGGCCCCACTTGGAGCCTATGGCTGAACAGGCTTCCCAGCCTGTTCCCAAGTCCTCTATGAAGGGAACAGAAAAGCAGTTTGTCTATAGAATCCTTGCTCCCTCGCCTCCCCACCATAGGCTGGAGAGGGAAGCTTAAGGGTCCCTAGCATTCCAGAGGTGCTCCAAAACATTTTCGGCAATCAATGGCCTTGGTAGTGGGCATCTGTGCGCGCCGCTGCCTCAGTTCCTCCTTGCCCATGCTGCTGGCCAGCTTGTTGAAGGCGGATTTGTACTTCTTGTCGAAGGCCACTAGGGAAGAGGGTGGGAATCAGTGCATTAGGACCCCAGCCTCTCACTCCTGGCCCAGGGTCCTTAAACTCCTCAGTCCCCCGCCTGCTCCCTCACCTATGTCCACGTGGTCCTTGCCCATGGCAGCCATTGTCAGGAATAAGATCTCGCGGTAGATACCCCTGTACAGAGGCAGAAGGGTGTAAGCCAGAGAAAAGAGGTGTGAAGCTGGTGCCGATCAGGGACCCTCAGATGAGCATCGTACCTCTGCAGGTGCAGGCCAGCAGGAGGGGGCCCTAGAGTCTCCAGCAAGAGCCCCACAGCCTTGTGCACCTCATTGAGCCCAACATGGCGCAGCACTGACTCCAGCAATGCCAAGCTGAGACACGCAGGTACGGGGCCTGGCCACACCACCCGCTGAGGGATCTGGCCTGGGTGAAGGAAGAAAGGTCACCAGGATTACTGAGCCTTCTAGGTGTGGGACTCACCCCTCCCATCCCTATGTCAGATACCAGACTCACTGTGGACCCTCCAGAGCACATAGAGAGGTGGGCAGCTGCTAGGGTCAGGAGTCAGGATATCCCACAGCAGTCGCACCTGCACAGAGGCTGGATCAGGAGTTAGCCAAGGAGACGGGGCCTGGGGGAGCTGAGACAGGAGAGCCAGTCAGGCTCACAGAATGGAAGGCGGTGTCCAAAGAGACAGACAGACATTACAGGACACACCAAGCAGAGGGAAGGGACCTACTCCCTTGAGAATGTAAGCTCTGCAGAGTAAGGATGTGTTTTGTAATCGGCTACGTCTCTAATGCCTGAAAACTGTGCCTGGAACCTAAAAGACGCTCAATAAATACTGGTGGAGTGAGTAGATGAACATTAACGAGTGATTTCCTAGGTACCAAGCGCTGCACAAGGTGTCTGTGCCATAGCCCTGTGATGTTACTGCTTATGACACATGAAAAACTGTGGCCCAGAGTGGTGAACTGCAAGGGCCAGGAGTCGGCCAGACACACAGACTCCACAGCCTGGGCTCTTCCTTTAGTGTCAAAGACACAGAAGACGAGGACACAGAGCTGGGAGACAGGAAAGGAGGCCACATAAAAATACTGACCTGGGGAGGCGGGGGCCCATCACAGGAGGCCAGCACCAGGCCTGGTAGAATACTAGGCAGGCGTAGCCGTTGGAAATACCACAGAAGGTTCCAGAAGATGATGGGGTGGGCAGCAGGCAGTTCAGGCAGTGCCAGAACCTCGCTGCCCTCATTCTCTACCAGAGACTCCAGCTCCTTCCGCAGCACCAGGGGACTCAGGTATGCCCAGGCCCCACTCTCCACGCGCCTAGAGGCACCCTGTCAGACACAGAGTAGAAGGGCCCCATCCAGTGCCCTGCCTGCCACCAAGCCATTGTCCCCAGTGGCTTCTGGGAGGCCTCTTGCCCTCAGTACCATCTATTTGTCACCCTTCCACACAGGCTCCATGCTCCCACTCTGTGCCCCATTGGCCCAGCCCTTACCCCTGTGTGCCCGTTGCAGAGCTGAGGCTCATCCAGGGCGAGACAGAGCCTGCGGTCACTGAGCACAGGGCCAGGACCCCCAGGAACAGGGGCGTCTTTGCTGCTGCTGGCACCAGCAGGGGCAGGGTTGGGGCTGGGGGCACTGCAAGGGGACAGCAGAAGGGGTCAGCTCTTGGACCACTGCCTTCCTGTCCCACCCACGGCACTTGCCCTGATTTGGGCACCTGGGTCGGGAATCAAGGGTCTGAACACTGAGCAAGGGCACAAAAGGGCAGGCGCAGAAGGGGCAGGTTGTGTTGAGGTTAGAGTCGTCAGGTGCCCAACCAGCCATGATTTCCTCATCGTACACCAGTGAGTCACAGGCACGGCACAGGGAGCAGCTGGAGAGCAGAATCTGTGGACAAGGAGACCCCAGGAAGTAGGCCTGGCTCAGCCTTCAGTGCCCCTTTCCTGGCCCTTCCACCTCCAAATCCCAGCCAGCCCTCCTTGACCTCCTCCCCACCCTGCCTTTCCTGGGAAGACTGCAGGGGGGCGGTTATCCTCACTTCCAGGGAAGGTGGCTGGAGGGATCCAGGGGTGTCACTGAGGCGCTCTGAGGAACGGCGGAGGCTCAGGCTACTGAGAGAAGACTCTGAGAGGTCCCACTCACTGCCCAGAGAGGCTGAGCTCTGCCACCACACAAGGAAACCCTGTCAGCTGGCTCCGCGCTCCTCTCCAGCAGGGATGCCAGCTCTAACGACCCTGCAGGCCCCTCCCGGGGCCTCCTGAAGCTTCGGGGCTGGCTACCTCCGATGCAGTGGATCCAGGTCGCTCCCGGGGCCTCAGAAGACTCTCCATTGGGCTGCGACGGGCAGGGGGAGGCAGGTCAGGGGGCATCTCTGATGGGGAAATGCGGGCAGCAGGGGAGCGGCGGGAAGGAGTGAGCAGCTGCTGGAGGCGGGCACCCAGCCCTCGTCGGGGGGTGCCTGCCTCATCCTGACGCCCACTAGCCTTGGGCCCTCGCACACTCAGCCCTTCCAGGGCCTCAGTGGACTGGGCACTCAGGGCCAAGCCTGAGCCACCTGGACTGCCTCCAGGTGCCAGCTCCTCCCCTGTCAGGCTCAGGTCTGAGAGACTTCCATCATGCCAGGGCACAGGTGATCCCCGGGGCTCCAGGACCCCTAAAGCCTCTATCACTGCAGGACAAAAAAAGAATCAGGGAAGGTGGAGGCCAGCCTCTCCTCCAGCTGCCTGCTTCTTGAGTAACACGATTCTGGCTGTGTAAACTCTGACATTTGACCCCACCACGACATTTTGACTCCTCAGAGTGCACAGTTACCCACCACACAGGCCCACTTTTCCAGAATTCTGGCCCTGGTTCTTCTCCTTTCTTGCAAGTGGTTAGGAAAACTGACTGTGGGGAAGAGAAGAGGAGGACCAGACCAGGGCACTTACTGTGGGCCACACCGGCCTCTACAGTGGGCTGGGCTCCTCGGGCACTGCCCAAACTGCCACTCTTCACCAGGCGCCCAGTGGGTGAGGCCGGGTCCCTCAGACTTCGCCCAGCCCAAGTCGTCTGGCGCTGAAGGGGACGGGTCGGGGAAGGGCGTTCCAGATAGGACTCTGGAGGACAGAGAAGGGATTTAGAGGCCGTGAGCTAGAAACCCCAACAGACCTCCGCGGAGGGACCTGGCTTGGCAGGGTTCCCCACAGGCAGAACTTTCTCTCTTTTGTTACCAGTTGAGTGTAGCTTAGCCATTCTCTGAAAGCCCATGCCGACCGCGAAGCCAGCTCTGGCTCTCCAAGAGCCTGCTGCCCCTCCCTAAGCCTGCTCACCAGTCCCTGCCCACCTGTCTGGGAAATGCCAGCCTCTTGGTGTGCTGACACCTGCTGCTGCTGCTGCTGCTGCTGCTGCCGCTGCCGGTCTCTCAGAGGCTGACGGAACTGAGCAGCCCCCAGGACAACATTCCGGAGCTTGGCCCAACGCAAGCGTCCACCTGGTGTACCAGATGGCCACTTGCTTTCCAGCACAGCCTGCCAAGTACAGCGCCCATCAGGATGGCCTCCTTCCAGCACCCTGACCCCAGCCTGATGCCCACCTCCTGTCCTCGAGCCCCAGGGACCACCTTCCCTCCACACATCCTGCCTAGGACTGCCTGACCAATGGCTCAGCCAGGAACAAGGGTAATTGTGAGCAACTATCCTGAGAGGACCTGCGAGAAGCCCAGAGTAATGGAGGAAGTTCTTAATCAGACTCTACTACTTATAAACTGTGTGGCTTTGAAGAAATCATTTCAGATTTCGGTCATTAAGTTTCCTCATCTGAAAAGCAGGAGATGTCCAGTATCATGGTGAAGGGGCTGAATCTGGGAAACAGGAATATGCCTTTGCTCATATTCTAACTCCCCAACTCGTCCACTATGGTACTTTGGGCAAGTTATGAATTTTCTGTAACTCATCTCCTCATCTATGAGACGGGGGTGATCCTCCTACCCCAGGGGGATGGTGAATATAAAGTTATTTAAAACGTATAATGTGAAGTTTTTAAAAATGTATGATGTATTCAGAAGAGTGCCGGACACACGGCCGGTACTGTGAGCTACAGTCAGGCTGTTGCGATGGGGAATAAAAGAAGCTAAGATGAAAACAAAAAACCCAAAAAGCCATTTGCTGGTGCCTAGGCTACAAGAGGCGGCGATGGAGGACAATGGTCCCAGGACCCAGTGGAGCTGCACAAGCCCAGTCTCCAAGACGGGGAAGCAGGGGTCAGGGAACGGCGTCCTCCCCACGCACACCTGGTCCAGCCTGCCAGCCGTCCTACCCCAAACTAGGTACCTTATTGTAGTAACCATAGGTGATGGTGTTGGGCACGATGCCTGCCCGTCGCATCTCCAGCATGACCCGCACAGACAAGACGGGCTGCCCGTAGTAGGAGCAGAGCTGCATCAGCACCCGGTAACACACCTAGGCCGAGAGGCACGGAATGGCAGCAGCCTCCCTCCAGCCCGCCCTCCAGCCTTCTCAGTTCCTGCACTCCTCACTGGCCCCTGCGGCTCTGCTGACCCTGCTACCCTGCAGTCCCCTTAGCGAGTGCTGATGTGACCGCGCTCACAGTGAATGCTGAGGAGCATCTGCCCAGCCCTGGGCTCCCCATCTGCCCAGCCCTGGGGCTCCCCATCTGCTTTCTTCAACTCCCACAAGCTTCCCTCTCGCAGCCGCCATGGCTGCAGGTGGCCGCATGGTAAATGGCGCCCACCTCATCGGGGAGCACCACCTTGCGGCTCTCCATCTCACGCAGCACATGGTAGGCTGTGTGCAGCGCCCGCACCCGGGAGGGTGCTGACCGCACATAGGCCGGAAGACACAGGAACCACAGCCCGTAGCAATGGCCCAGCAGGCACCGGGCCCACAGCTCGGGCACCGTCGCTGACTTCTGTGCCATCCGCTGGGCCACCTTCATCTCCTAGGTGGGGCAGAGGACACAACAGGGTGAACACGATGTCAGGGAGGTCGGAGAAGCAGCGCTCCCCTGAAGGACGCTCTGTGCCTGAGGAGGTGGCTGTACCGACAGGCTGTGGCTCCTGAGCACCGGCAGGGGCCCTGGACAGAGCCACCAGCCTCTGGATTCCCAGAAGTGACGATGGGAGGGTGCTGGTGATGACAACGGCAGGCACAGTGAATTCCCTACGGTCTACGGGAAGGCCGCCGCCTCATCTCATTTCACAGACGGAGAAACGAAGCAGCCGCCCTCGGCCTGAGCCAGGTTCCCCGCTGCTTACCTGTTTGGTACGGCGAGGGGCAGGACTGCTGGGGGCGCTACGGGATGGGCCTGGCACAGGCAGGGCCCCTGGTTGCTCTTGAGGAGACTCAAATAGCTCAGCCCGTAATTCTGGGAACCCATCATAGCTGAGGGGCAGAGAGAGCCGATATCAATACAGGGCCAGGCACCTGAAGTGGACCATCCAAGGGTCCACTTGGGACACAGGAGGGGACAAAATCTCTCACCAGTACTGGGGAGTGGATTCACTGCCCTCTGGCGCGGGGGGCTCCTCAGGGGGGGTGATAAAGACAGTGAGCTCGCTTCCCGAGAGTTCTTCCAGCTCCACTAAGGGCGCTGTCTCGGGCTTCTCCTGCTCCGGGTGGACCTGAACAGCAAGGGGAGCACGCAGCGTCAGACGACAGGCATGGCAGGTGCAGGGTGCCACGCAACTTGTACCCCAGTGACTTGGGAGCCCAGGCAGGACTGAAAGTTGAGGCCAGCCTTGGCAACTTAGTAAGACCCTGCCTCAAAATGAAAAATAAAAAGAATCGGGGAGGCAGCTCCGTGGCAGAGCACTCGTAGGTGCGATCCTCAGTACCGCAAAAAATAAAATAAAAAGACAGTGGGCATGGAGCATGCCAGACGTCCGGAATATGGCATCTTCCAGGAAAGCACGTCCGCAGGAAAGGAGTCCTGAAGACCCGGCTGGGGGACAGAGTTGAGAATGGGACGATACTTCGCAGAGGAAGCCAGTGGCACACGCTGTGTGCTCGTGACTCCAGGGGTGCCCTCCCCGTCACAGCTGAGACATATTTGGGTTTACAGTAGCCTGTGGGCAAGAGAGAAGCAGAAGGAGAGCAGAGACCACTGGGCACATAGAGAAGGGACATACTTGATACCTTATCAACACAAGAGTCAAAGAATTCAAGGGCAGCATGCCGAGCAGAGCCAAAAGAACATTCTTCGATGAACTGTGAGAACATCTGCGTGTGCAGCAGCTGAGAGTACAGCTTGTGGCTGGAGCGTTCTCGGGACTTGAGGAAACCTGATGGGGACAAGAGTGAGGCAGGGAAGGGAGATGACCAGGGCTCTCTCCTGCAGCCATCCTGCCCTGCCCTATTCTTGGCCCTCTGCTTTCTCAGGAGCCATGCTCACGGAGGTCGTCAACTCTCGGCCCACTGACACATACCCCTGACACACAGAGGGACCAGCTCAGCTCCCTCTAGCACCAGGGCCCGCAGAGTCCTTCCTTTTGTTTACCTGCACCCACCGTCATACGCTGAGGGCTCTCCAAGGACAGGTCCCTCAACAGAGCTTTGCCCATGGGGGCTGCTCACAAAGGTCATTGTGTCCACTCTATGCCCAGGGCTCCCAGAGAGCGGGGCCCCATCTGCTTCATCTTTGTACCCTTACTTCCTCCAAGACCTTAAGAGTGGATGGCTCAAGCAGGTGCCACCAAAACACTTACTGAGTGAGGGAATAAGGAACCTGGCAGTCCCCAGGCCACCCCTCCCATGATACCCTTTCTAAGCAGAGACAGGCTCACGTTACCCTGAAGGTAGAAAAGGTTGTCAACGTCACGAGCCCCCTCAGAAGGGGCCTGGGTGAGGGGGCGCAGGAAGTCCCGGTAGCCCTTGAGCAGGCAGGCCATGAAGCGCAGGAAGGCTCCCTGGACTTCCCGCTCCAGGCGGGCGCGGCGGCCGCAGACGGCCTCATAGTCCGTCAACAGGAATTCCAGGGATGCCTCCTCCTCAGGTCCAGTGTACGCTGGGAAGCGATGCCCAGAGTCGGAGTCAGCACCCACAGTGCTTGCCCACCCCATCCTTCACACTGACACCTGTTCCACCCCCAGCCCCCTGGGATGTGTTCGGGAATGCTGTACTGGAGATTGAGCTTAAGGGTGCATCTCAGTCCTATTTTATTTTTGATTTAGAGACAGGGTCTACTAAGGTGCTGAGGGTCTCTCTCACTAACTTGCTGAGGCTGGCCTTAAACTTGTGAGCCTCCTGTCTCAGCCTCCCAACTCACTGGGATTACAGGCATGCCCCGCGGCACCCAGCTTCCTTCCCTCTGGCTTCTGTTGGAAGCAGAACCCCCTGACTACCACCAGATCCTGACTCCTCTAACCTCCTCAAGGAATGTCTAGCCCCCCCAGCCTTCCCCACACTAGAGGCGGGAGCCCAATGACAGTCCCAGCCTCCCACCCCCACCCAGTCTTCTCACTCTGGTCCAGTTGCTGGTACAGGGTTGTTAGTGTGGCCAGCAGAACTTTGTAGGGTCTGCGGGGCAGGGTCCGAGGGGAGAGGAGCTTCTTTTCCTCTGTCCTAGGAGATAAACAGGAGAAAAAGAACGACAGGGCTCCTCACATGCTCCTCCCCCCTTCGCCTCAGGCCTGGAGCCACGGCAGCTCACACGTGGGCTCCCGAGAGCTCGCCTCCCGTCCCCGTGAGACCCAGCCTCTTACTGGAAGAGCGTGTTGGTATCGAGATCGACACAGATGACGTCGGCAGGAGGGTCATGCAGATCAAAGTAGCTGGAGTGGATGCCCACGATGAAGGGCACGGGGGCGCTCAGCACGTCTGCCAGCACCAGGGGGCACAGCGGAATGTAGGGGCACTGCCAGTGCAGCGGGAAGATCATCTGAAGCCCAGAGAGGAGCAGTGAACAGGGGCCGGGGCAGCAGGGAGGGACACAGGAGCGGAGAGGGCACTGGCCCTGGGGAAATGGTGCTTGTTTGTCCCGAAAGTCTGTACCCAGGGAAAGGGACTGAGAATCTCCTCAAGGAAGGAAAAGTAAGAGGACAAATCCAGAAGAGTGGGCGGACAGGTGGTACTCACTGAGACGAGGGCCTCACAGACGCTCGTGAGCAGGTCCGGCCTCAGCGAGTGGACCAGCAACTTGTGCTCTGTGAGCACAGCCATCAGCAGCGTGACAGCCAGCTCAGGGCCCAGGCTCTGCAGCAGCTGCAGGAAGCTGGCGCCGCTGCAGGCAATGCGAGGGTGGGGGTGCGTCACCAGCAGGCCCTGGAGACTCTTCCCCAGGCACCAGGCAGGGACACCGCTGGGGCCCAGCCTGCAAGGACCTCAACAATTGCCCCCGGCACCTACCATGTCCTCAGTCATCAAAGACCCCCTCCCCCAAACCCGGGCACATACCTGAGGGGCAAGGGTGAGGACACAGGCTGACAGAGGAGCAGGTTGTCATAGGGAGACATCTGGGGGGCCGAAAAGCCAGAGGTCAGTGTTGGTGACAGGCCTGCTCCTCTCCGTCCGTCCAGCCCAGCCCTGGCCCTTACCTGCACTAAGATGCGGGGTCTCTGTGGGGAAGGGAAGGGCACGTTGTGAATGAAGTGGGAGATGTGCCTGGGGAGAGAGGGAGCAGGTGAGGCACACGCCGTCCACCCGTCCTCCTCCACCCCGTGTCCCTCTCCCTCTCCTCTCCTAAGAGCCCTAGTCCTACCCCACCGCTACCCAGAACTAAGAACAGGGCGGGTGGGGCTCAGCGGCAGAGGCTGGCCTCCCACATGCGAGACCCTGGGTTCCATCCTCAGCACCACCTAAAAATGAATAAGTGAAATATACAACTAAAAATAATCACTTAAAAAATTTAATTTATAAGGAAAAAAAAAAAAAAGAATCTTATTCCTCCCTGAACCCCACTTCAAGGCCTGCATCAGCCACCGAGCCTCTCTTGTTCAACAGACTTGTGCAAATCACACGCAGCCCTCGCCAGGCCCAACCAGCAGGACAGACTGGATTTCAGGCTGTCCCGTCTCCTCCTCCGGTGACAGTTTTTTCCAATGGCCACACTGTACAACCCCACACTCCGGCCGGCCCCTCCCCGTGCCCAGCCCACTCCCATCTCCATGCTAATCTTTCCCGCCTCCCTGCACCCTCCTCACTCCTTCCCAGTGGCAGGGTAGCCATGCTCACGCTTCCAAGGGCAGGCGGTGGGGGCCCGAGACGGAGTAGCGGTAAAGGAAGGTGAGGAAGGCTCTGAAGGCTGGAAAGGCAGGCCAGTGGGACAGCACGGCGATGGCCCGCCGGCTGCGCACCGCACGGCCGCCCAGCGCCCGGCCCCGTTCCACGGCACTCAACAGGCCCAGTGCCCGCGCCTGCCGCTCTGACAGCCTGGCCCTTGGAAAGGCCTCATAGAACTGCAGGGCGGCACCATACACCTGGCAGGGGACAGAGGGACGGTCAGGCAGGCTCTGCATGGCCCAGACCCTTACCACAGGCCCCACACCTACCTTATCGCCAGCGGCACCCGTGAGTACAAAGGTGGAGAAGACGGGCACGGGGTACTTGGTCTGGGAGGGCCAGCACTCGATAGTGGCCCCCATGGGCAGGCAGAAGACTGGCACTGACTCGGGCAGCGGGAAAGCCTCATTGTCCTCCTCTGGGTAGCGGCCCAGCAGCTCTGCACCCAAGCAGAGTGAGGAGTACCCAAAAGGAGGGGTGTCCATCAGACTTCAGGGAGAGGAGCCAGGGGATCCCAGAGAAGGGCCAAGCAGCAAAAGGGAAATGAATTCTAGGGAACACTTGAAGGAATCAGCCAAGAGGCACCAAGGGCAGAGGGACACGAAGGGTCAAAGGCTAGGAGGGACAAAGGGGCCACTCACCTGCCTCATACACCAGTGTGTTGGCTTTGGCCAGGCCCACCTTGTAGCACAGGTACACTGCTGGGCCCCACTGCCCCCGATGGCAAGAAACAAGCAAACACACAGCTACCAAAGGTTTCTGGGGTCCACTTTCTCTCTACTACCCGCAAATGATCTTCTGAGCTGCCTCTAATCACAAGCCCTCAAGCCCTATCACCCGTCTGGCCTGCCCCTGGCCCCTTTATACCCTTGGGCCCAGTTCCACACCCTCACACCAAGGGCCCAGGTCTCAGCTCTCAGCTCCACAGCCCCACTCACCATGCCAGGGTTGAGGTTGCGGGCCAACCGGCAGTAAGTATGAGGCGTGCCCTCACCCTTGCTGGGCAGCACCAGGCAGAGGTCAGTGATGCCCAGGGCATGCAGTCCTGCCCCCTCTGCTGCCCGCCTATAAGTGAGGTAGGTGCGGGGATGCCCGGGGCCTGGAGGGGCCAGGTTGGCTGAGTGGCTGTACGGTGTAGTATCAAGCACTTGGAAGCCAGGCTTGGGACGTTCCTTGCCCTCATATAACACCCTGGGCACAGAAAACAGAGAAATGTCAAGAGGACAGGACCGAGGAGAAAGACCCCAATCCTGTCAGATCTGCCTACCTAGTGGAAACTGCCCTGCACACTCAGCCTTGTCAAACCCAATACCGGGCCCACCTCTGCTTGCTGAACTCAGAATCCCATAGCCCCTCTTTGCCCTTGACCCTACTTGTCAGTCAATAACAACCCACATGCCTTCCGCGACTCTCTCTCTCATGAACAGACACTAAGAAGTCACTGACGTGCTGAATCCCTCAGGGGTCTTACTCCACTCAATCTTATCAAGCATCCTACGAGGGACTATTATCCTCATTGGTGGGGCTTTATAACCTGCCCGAGACCAAAGGGCTAGGTGGCAGCAGCACGGGCATGCAAACCCAACCTGAGACAACCTGAGACCGAGCACTGACAACTTCAGCCCCTCCTCCCGGGCCTCTGGCCCTCCCCTCATCCCACACCCCTACCTTGACTTGGCTCTAACTCATAGTCCCTCCCAGCTCCCCTGGGGCCAGCATGGGTAGGAGGCACGTACCCCAACTCCACAAGGGGGGGTTTGTCCCGGCCTCTGCGGTAGCAGATGACAGGCTGAGTTCCACCCAGGAGCCCAGCACTGAATTCCAAGGGGTGGCCCCCAGCAGAAGCCTGGATGCATGTATAGCCCTGGGGCACCTCCTCGCCCAGTGCCCTAGCAATGACTGCCACATCGGTGATGGGCTCAGCTGGCCGGGAAGGGCGCAGGGGTCCGCTGGGCTCAGGAACCCATGTTTCCTCAGGGATAGGTGCTCCATTCCCCGCAAGCCCAGCAACCACGAAGTAATCCACCAGCCGGGGGGGCCGCTCCTCCGCCATGGCCCCCCCCTCACTCACTGCATCTGGAATGGGCAAGTGGGGGAGAGATGGAGCAAGGGAAACTGGTGTTGCCACGGCAACAGAGTGCTACCCCCTCCCTTCAGTCCCCTCCCATTCCTAATCCTTCCAAAGGAAGATGGGATAAGCGGTCAGTCATTCCCACCTCTCACATCCCCAGGCGCTCACAGCCCCACCACAGCTCCTTAAAAAGACCAGGTTCCTCCCACTTGGCAGTTCTCTCCCCAAAGAACCCAAACTCCACCTCAGACCGCTAGCCTGGGCTCTGACACCATGTTGCTCATGTATGCCTTCCAAGGCCCCACCCCTCCCCACTACCTGCCTGGTTAGAACACCAGAGATCACACTATTTCCTGTAATGACCTGCAATGACACCATTGATTCTGGCCACGTCACACCAACCTTAGTCTTTTTTAAGGGTTTCTGGCTTTCTGCTCTAGTTATGACATCCTAAGGACCTCCTGACCCAGTTGACACTCCAAAAGGGCCCACTCCCACAGGATTCTGGGAAACCTCACAAAACCCAAGCTTTAGTGCCTTTCCTTAACTCCACCAGCCTGGCGCAGCCACAGTGCCCTCCCACCCACAGGATCCTTAGATGTCTCCAGTTAGGTCTAAAGTGACTGTGGGAGACGGGTTCCCGCTGTCCCTCGCCCTCTGCCACAGAGCCCCGGAGCCCGAGCCGAGACAGAATTAGGCCCACAACAGCCTTTCAGTAACTGTTTCCTCACCTGCCTCCATGGCCCGCCCCAGGGAGTAGGAGCCCCAAGGTTCCTGAGGCGCCCCAGGGTGCAGACGCTGGGAAGAGCCTGGTGGGTGGTTTGCATCAGGGGCTGGGAGGTGTGGGGGAGTGCTTCAGAGGGGAAGGGAGGTTACTTCCTGAAACGGCGGAGGGGAAGCTGCAGCTCAGCAGAAGTCAGCCTATGGGTGTGTGTGGCGGCGCCGTGGGGCGGGGGGTTCTGCTGAAGGTGCCAGCGCAGCATCAAGCCAAGTCCGAACTTCAGACCAAAGGGGCCTGAGCAAGGCCGAGGAGATTCCATGGCTCCGGGATGAACAGTTCTCCCACTCTTGGCCCAGAGAACTAACTGGAGGGAGCAAAGGAATCTCCCGGGGCCAGGCTGGCTCCTGGACACACACGCCCCAACTCCAGCTAAATTTAGCCTCCACGTCTGGGAGGTGAAGCCAGGAGTCCGCATCAGCCTCCAGATTTAACTCTAGGGCACACCCCCCCCCTCACCTAGTGCAGGCGAGCGGGAGCCCCATGCCCAAGGCACAGGCAGAGGCAGTTAGGTGGGACCGTCGGAGCGGCGAGCGGGTGCCCCCCCCCAAGCGCTGAGCACGCGCAGGGATTCCCTGGACCCGGCCGGGGGAGTCCTACGGAGGGTCACCCTTTCTCCCTAAGTGGAGCCACGGGCACAGGGGCCACTCGGGTCTCCAACGCCCACATGCCGGGCAACGGGAAGTCGGGCTGGGGCAGAGGGCGCGCGGAGGGGGAGGAGGCTGAGCAGGGAGCTGGAGGGCACCGAAAAGCCGGCGCGCTGGGGCCGAGGACGTGACGGCAGCAGCGCCGGCCGCCGCGTGACCCGAGCAGGAGGGCGGGGTGCTCCTGCTCCGGCACCCGCAGGGGCAGTGGGGTGCGGGGTGCCCGCCACCGCTAGCTGGCTCCCGGCTGCGCCTTCCCCTCCACTTTCACTTCCCCGGGAGGGAGGAAGCGGAACCAGATGTGCAGGCTGGAGAGCAGCTGGGGCCGCCCCCGCCCGCCGGCGCTCCCTCCCTCCTTCCCGCGCGCCGCCCCGCCCGCTCCGGCCCTACCTGCCTGCCCTGCGACTCCCCGGCCGCCGGCCCGCTGGCGGGTGGCTCGGAGGGCGGGCTGGCGGGCCGGCGGGCGGCGGGGCTACCCGGCCCCGGACATGGCGCACCGGACTTGGGCGCCGCTCCCGCCTGGGCTGCGAGTAAAGGAAGAAGAGGCGGCCGAGGGCACCAGGGCGCGGGGCGCCGAGGAGGGAGATCTGGGCGGTCCCAGCGTAGCGTCCCCGCCGCGCTGCGCCACGCTGGGACTGTGCAGCCGCGCCGCCAGCCGGGCCGCGCAGTCCTCCCAGCTCCCGCGGCGCTGGGGGCCCGGCGCTCCTCCGCGCGCCCCGCTTTCTCCACTCCCCCCCCCCCCCCCCCCCGGGCCGCGGGCGCCGCCGCTACCCCCACCCCCCTCCTCGGCCGGCGGCCGTGACCCCGTCAAGTGCCGGCCCAGCGCCCTGCCGCCTGCAGCGCGACCCCTGGCGGCTGGGAGGGCCCCCTGCACCAAGAGGCTTCCCACCACCTAGCCAGCGCCTCTGGACGCTGACCCTGGGCAGCCCTGGAGTCGGCGTCTTCTCGCTTGCTGCCCTGGGTCCTACAGCCGGATGTGGTGCGCATGCCTGGGAGAAAGTGACGGTCTCCACTAGAGGAACCCAGGTGGCTAAGCTCCCCGCATTTCCAGGTTTAGGACACACTGCATTCCCTTCAGAAGCTCTCAGTTCTCTTTTCTGGAAATGACATGAGCTTTGCAAAGAGGAAGAGTGGAAACTAGGACTGTAGGGTGTGGTGCAGAGTAGTGGAGGTGGGGTAACTGGGGAGGGCATCACTCCTCGCACTGTGCAGGGTGGGCAAAGAGCAGAGGCCCAGGCAGCCAGAGCACTGGCAAACACGCAGAAAGGGAAACCTCTTCAGAACGTGGTTGACAGGCAACGATCTGTTGGATTAAAATTCTCAAATAAGTGGAGGTGTGGGGAGGTGGAAGTGAATCATGCATAGGAACCAAGAGGGAAATGGAGGGCGACCCTGACACCTAGAGACAGAGGCTTGTCTAGGTCCTGGAGGTATAAATGACCCTAACGAGGGAGCCAACCAAGACCTACATGGAGTTCATAGTTGTTAAATTCTCTCTTCTCTGAAACTTTAGTACTGAGGCCAGCTACCCCAGGAAAGCTGGGGTCATTCCACCAGAAAAATCAGACCTGTGAACTCAGCCAGCAGCCATCTCCTCAACCGCAACTCACTTCCAGGCCTCGGGCTAAGGGAAGCAACTTGTCTGGCCAAGTCTCCTGATGCAGCAGAGTCCTAGACAAACTTGAGGGCACAGGACATGTCTTCCTGCCATCGTGGAAGCTTACACCCTTCACAGGTCTTCGTGTTCAATCTTGGATACAAATTGTGAGGCTGGGGCCCTTCCACAAAGCACGATAGTACTGAAAAGATGCAACATGCTTAGCAGATAAGAGGGCCCCTGGCTCAAGAATTTCCTAGATCCCAGCCACACCCCAAACAGCAGCCAACCACACCAAGGGTTTGACAGGATTTTTTTATTAACATATAATATATTTAATAAAAAATAATATCCACTCTGGCTCTTTTCCTCCATTGCAAGGAGAAGAGTAGTGAGGAGGGGCTGGCACTGCCCACCCCTAGGCATCTGGGTAAGCCCTGCCTCTGGGGTTCCCCTCTACCCCTGCTTTCCAACAGGCTCTGACCTCCAGACAGACGTTTTTCAAAGTTACAAGTGCTTTAGGCCCTCCCTTGGGCTCCCCCAGGCCTACCCATTGTGCAGAATTCAGGGGCCACCTGGACAAACCCCTTGCTTTTTCTCATTCTTAGGATCCTTTGTTCATGTTAGAAAGAGAACACGGGGGCAGAGAGTGGAGTCGTTACTGGCCAGGGGAAAGGGAGGAAAGGGACAGTGACGGGAGATGGGGCCGAGAAGGATGGTGGCAAGGTTCCCTCACTGTAGCCGGTCACTGCGGAATGAATCCTCTACAGCAGGATCGGGCAGCAGGGCACAGGGGTCACTCAGCATGTTTAGCCCTTCCAGGCCCAGTGGCTCCATGCGCAGCTCATCCTCCAACCCAAGCCCCAGCTCCAGTCCAGTTGCTGACACCTCAAAGCCAGGCACTCCAGCCAGGGCCGCTGCGATTTCCTTGGAGAATCCTGGGGAGGAGTCCCCTGTGGGTAAGAGATAAGTAAGGACCGCATACCTCATGAACTCCCCCAAGACTCCTCCATTTCTTATGTTGGCAAAGGTATCACTCCTTCACTTTTATTTTTTTTTAATATTTTTTTAGTTGTTGATGACCTTTATTTTATTTATTTATATGCGATGCTAAGAATCGAACCCAGTGCCTCACACATGCCAGGCAAGTGTGCTGCGGCTGAGCCCCAACCACGGCCCCACTCCCTTCCTTTCACTGCCATCACCACCCATGCCCACTCACCTGTGAGGACAATGTTAGGTCCTGAGCCATGGCGGGAACAGTGGGTCAAGTTCTGGTGGTTGAGGGTGTGAGGGTCCTGGGAGCCACTCACTGACCCCTCATCCCCTAAAAATCCAGGCCCTTCAGAAAAGCCAGGGGGATCCAGCACCAGATTGGTTGATGGGGTCTCCATGCTGAACTGCTCCAGCTAAAGACACAAAGACACATCTTGAAGAAGTAGGCTTCAGAACAGGATGTCCCTGCCTGCCCTTGCCCAGACATGTTAACATGTCCCCTTCACCCAGCAATCTTCATCCACCCCAGGAACAGAGGCAAAGACAGAGGAGGCTGGCAGCAAGCAGAGCAAGAGAAGCGAGCACGGGGCCCGAAGTAGGTATGGGCACCGTACCTGCTGGGCCAGAGCATGTGCATGCCAGGAAGAGAACGGGTCAAGGCAGGAGTCATCAAAGAGCAAGCTGAGCAGAAACAGAGGGGCAGGAGTAGGGGTCAAACGCAGGAAAACAGGAGCCCCAAGCTGGCAGTGCTGTTACCTGAGACAAAGGGAGACCCCTTCTTCTGGATGTCGTAATTCAGAGATACCACTCAGGCCCCCCGGACCCACCCCAGCCCCTCTCCCTGCTTCTGAGCTAGGAGCCTGAGTACTCACATTTCCCAGGCTGAAGTCACTCACTGGCCGGTGGTGAGACTGTTGCCCGTGCCCAGTGGACCCAGGTGGGTACAGTATTCCATAATGTGGCTGCCTGCCTGGGGGTTGGCCACCAGAGGGCTGCACTAAACAGGCCTGAGCAGGTAGCCCTGGCTGCTGCAGAGGCTTTGGGGTGGGTTGCTGGGTGGGCAGAACCAGACTTGGAGGGCTGTATGGGTAGGGGGGCAGTCGCTGGTCAGTAGACAGTTTACTGGTGTCCAGGGGGACGCCCTGAAAAGAAACAAGAAAATGGAGGAAACTTAGCCCTCCAAGAAAAACTCATAGAGCTTCCCATTCTCTAAGCTGCAGCCACCCTCAATGCAAACATGATAACGCTCCATGTTCTCATGGGCACCCCTGAGCTTGGTGGCAGTAACTCAAAAATACATATTAGGACTGGGACTGTGGCTCAGTGGTAGAGCGCCTGCCTCGCAAGTGTGAGGCACTGGGTTCAATCCTCAGCACCACATAAAATAAATGAATAAAGATATTGTGTCCATCTACAACTAAAAAAATATTTTTCAAAAACATGCATATTAGAATGGAAGTGCTGAGAGAGGTTAACACTAGGGTAATACTGAACCTGCTCCAGAAATGAATCCTTCCCCAACACTGACAGCTTAATGGTCGTCAGTAATCAAGTACTTGTGACACACCCTCACAAGTGCCTGTTAACACCCAGTGCAGGTGAAAGGGGTTGTTCTGAAGACTGAAGAGGCCAGAGGAAGTGGAAGAGAAAGGAAGGAAAAGCAGAAAAGGAGGGAGGAGAGGTTCCTTCCCTCTGCCACTGAAATCACGGAGCACCTGTGGCCTGGCCGTGGTCGTAGAGGAGAAGGCAGAGATGGAACCCAGAACACACACTCCAGGGGACAGAACGGAGGAGGAGGGGAAGGTAGGACAGAGGAGAGGGAAAAGAGAGCATAAGGGTGAGAAATGGGAGCAGAGATGACAAAGAAAGAAAAGAGTAAGGAAGGGTGGGGAGGAGGGTAGAGCTTAGTGCTTTGGCGCTGAGGAAAAAGTCCTAAGTTCTGAGTCTGCAGTTCTAGTTCCAACCTGCCAGGTGAATCTGGGGAAGCCACCTTCCCTCTAGGCCCCAGTTTCCTCATCTGTAAAGTGGAAAGAGACTGAGCTCCACGGTCAGAGAGTCTCTGATTCTACGAATTCTAAGAAGGAGGGGAAATGGGAGAGGCGATGGGAAAAGACAGAAGCTCGGGCAAAAAATAAAGAGACAAGAAGAGTGAGAACAGAAAAAAAATAAAAAGGAGAGGACAAGCTATCATCTGCCAAGCACGGGCCTGGGCTGGCAGGCACGGTGCAAAGTACTCCATGTCCCTTACGGCACTCGATGCTTACAAAGCCGATTCTGTTTTATAAAGGAGACTACTGAGACACACAGAGGTTGTCAAAGGGGACTCCTAGGAAAGGCAGAACCAGGATTTGAAACCAAAGGCTAACCCCGGGGTTCGTAAGCAAAGAGGAGACAGACAAATAAAAGATGTGGCAGGTGGAGGACACACAGGGGTAGCAGGGGATGGATGAGACAAAGGGTGCAGAAAGTAAGGGGAGGAGGTATCTGAGGAAAGGAGGGCTGGAGGGAGAAACTCTGCAGGAGAAGAGAAGAGGAAGGGAGACAGACGTGTGGGGAAGCAGCCACGCATACCTGAGTGATGGAAGACAAGGTGGGTGACATTGTTGGCGAAAACTGTTTGGGCAGCTGCTGTTGGGACCTTCTGGCGTCGGCTGGGCCCGCGGGCAAACTCAGGGGGCTGAGGGGGACACGGCGGTGACGGGGGGAGGCCCCAGGGGTAGAAGCTGGGTAAGGGGGAGTGCCCAGGATGGGTGAGGAAGTGGAGGAAGAGGAAGAGGAGGAGGAGAGGGCCGGGGCACTGAGTGATGGGTGGCCCAGGGAGGTGGTGGGCAGTGCATGGCGGGTCAACGAGGAGGCAGGCAGTGAGGGGTGACTGTGGGAACCCTGGAGCTGGGGCTGAGGACTGCTCAGGGAAGCCTGGAGGTTGGGATTGCTTAGGGAGGACTGCAGGGATGGGTGGCTGAGAGGTGAATGAAGTCCTGCAGGCACAGACAAAAAACCAGAGATGACAACATTACTGATGAGAACCAGGCTCCTTTCCACCCAGAATGGGTTGCAGTGACCGGACTATGAAAGTGGCAACACAATGTCCTTCCTATTCTGTTCCTGCCAGTGAGATTGGCACAGCCCACCTGGGGGTGGTTCTCCATCTTCTTTGTAGGAAAGTCACACCTACCAGTTCTCATAGGCTGAGAATTGCAGTACAGGGATCCGGGGGTGCCGGGTTGCTGGACTGGTGGGCATTATAGGATCCAGCTCAAACCTCCCGACCCTCCATCCCTCTAGACAGGCAGCATCTGGTGAGCACATACACAGCCAGGAAAGCCACTCACCTGGTGCATCATAGCCCGGGCCCAGGCCCAGACCTCCACTGATGCCCAGGTGAGTCATGGTGTGGGTCAAATTGGAGGTACTATTGCCCCCACTCAGGCTGGGATAGGCTGTCTCTTCAGGGTCCAGGGAGGTGGGCAGCGGTGGAGGAAAGTGCAGGTTGGTGAGGTCAGGTAAGGAGCCCCCAGTGTTCATGGCAGCTGGGAGGACAGGCACATTGGCAGGCTGGTCAGGAGATGGAAAGATGCTAGGGGAGGGAGAGAAAAAGAAAGAAAGGTGTAAATGGAGGGGAGGGAGTCAGGGAAGAGCACAGATCCATCTTCCACATGGCCCTGGACTTCCCTCCCTCGCTCCTATTCTCAGCCAGCCTTATAAAGGAACTTACTTAATTCCAGGAACTTCACAGGACCGAGGTCGCGAGGAGGATGAGGACAGCTAAGGAAGAATGTGGAAAATGAGGACAGAGCTCAGGAGGGAACTCTAGAAGCCTGCCCATGGGAAGGGAAGGGTGGGTGACATCCAGTGGCCCACACCTACCTTCTTAGCATCCCATGGTTTCAGCAAATGTTTGTCATCTAGCAAGTTCTCTTCAATAGCAGGGACTTGAAAGAGAAAGACAGGTGATGGGGAGGCTGGAGAAGGAGCCAGGAAGGCACACAGGAAGCAGAGACAGGCAGAGGGAGTCCTGTGTCCTAACCCTGCATGAAGTCTCCAATGTCAGCCCAGAAATTCTTTTGGCATTTGGTCCCCACAATGTGTTGAAGAACACATACCTTTGGAGTCTATTTCACCATCCAGAAAACCTGCAAGGGATGCAGCGGAGTTGGCCGCAGCCCTCACTTACCAATCTGATTCTATCAAAAGCTCACAGCTACTCCCTACCCTGGGATTTGGCCACTTACCCCCACGACGGCCTTGTAGGACACTAGGAGGTGTGGGTCCTGGATAAGTGTCCTGGGGGTTGGGGTTCATCACACTTGTGTGAAGGGCCGAGTCAGAGCTTGTCCTGTTTGGGGAGTAAAGAAGCAC